CCGGGCACGCCTTAGCCACGGCTGCTCCTCATCTGCCTCGCCGACTTCCGGCGCCGCGCTCGAAACGTGGAACCTCACGTCCGCGGCGCTCGGCCTAGCCCGCGGGAGGTCGCTCCTGGCCGGGGAGTACCCCGGCTCCAGGTGCCCGGGCGCCAGGAAGTCGGGCAGGGGCCGGGCGCCCGACTCCGCTCGCGGCGACCACGGCTGCTGCGGAGGAGGCCGGCCGACGGGGGAAGCGTCACCGTCGCCGCCGCTGTTGCCGTTGCTGTCGCCGTTGTTGTTGTTGTTGTTGTTGGTAGTGGTGTTGTTGCTGTTGCTGCTGCTGCTGCTGCTGCTGCTGCCCGACGTCTGTTCTCCGGGCGGGGTGGGTGCCGGGCCGGGTTCGACCACGGACGAGGCCGCCGTCGCCGTCGACGCACCATCGTCGGAGAGGGTAAGATCGGCCAGCCCTGCTGCCGCTGCTTCGACTGAGGCCGGCGGAGGTGACGCCGCTGCGACGGTAACGGCGGCCGCCGCGGTAGAGACTGCCGGGGCGCCATTCGGACCGGAAACGTTTTTGGCGGTGGAATCGGCACCGGCAGCGTTGCCACTGCCGCCGCCGTTCGTGCCGGCAACGTTTTTCGCCGTGGTACCTGCGGCGGCGGTGGCCGCGGCGGTATCGGGCGGCAACTGAAACGCCTCCGCCGCCGCTCCCTTTATGGCTTCCTTCACGGCATCTTCCGACCCCGCCGCAGCCGCTGCCGCCGCAGGAGCCGGCGATCCAACTGCCGCCTTCGTGGGAACAGCAGCGGCCGCGGCGGCGGCACCTTCCGCCCCGGCTCCCCCGGCAGCGTTAACGCCTCCCGCCGCCCCTACAATGCTTGCCGTCAGAGCCGGATAGAGCAAAGCCAGCCAGGGCTCGATCGTCTCCTCCATGTTGGTGGCCTCGTCGGCGAAGGCGGGGGGGTGAACCGGCGTCGCTCCGAGCTCCCTGAACCTCTTGTCGAGGCTCTTACCCATGTAGCTGTTTGTGGTGGTGAGGGAGGGGGGGGGGGGGGAATAGGTCGGTATTATGCTGTGCCGCTTCGAGAGGGGCCACATCGGTTGAACCGTAATGATTGTTCGAGAAGCAACTGGTGTGGGTCATTGTTGTTGTCGTCACAAAAAAAAAAGCGTTCTGATCTCTCAACAAACAGGCAGTCTGCCAGTCCTGTCTGCCTGCCTATCTGTCTGTCTCGTCTTTATGTTTTGTCTTGTCTCACCAACACTTGTCCAATCTCTTTTCAGTACCTTCAAACCACCTCGTAAACTCTCAAAAAGGAGGCACTCTGTCTCTCTTGTCTGCCTGTCTGCCTATCTGTCGGTCTGTCCATCTGTCTCGTCCTTCTGGCCGTCTTGTCTAGCCAAAACTTGTCCGACCTCTTTTCAGTACCTTCAAACCACCCGCTTACATTCTCAAAAAGGCGCCCGTCTCTCTGCCTATCTACCTGCTTATCTGTGTTTCTGTCTGTCGCTAGCCGTCTCCCTGTCTGTTTGTCTGTCTTATCGCCTGATCTGTCTGTCTGCCTATCTGTCTCCGTCTGTCGGACTATCCGTCTGTCTGTCAGTCTGTCTCTGCCTGGCTGTCTGTCTATATCGTCTGTCCGTCTGCCTGCCTGTCTTGTCTCACCAAAACTTATCGTAGTTGGTGTCCCCGAGGCCCAGGAGAGCGAACGGTAGCCCTTGCAGAAGATCCTTCGGTTGAGTCCTTCGCTTCAAAAACCTACGTCGGGACAGGCGATTCAACAACGACGGGTAGGTTAGTGGGGCGGGCGGTAAGAAAAGATAGACGAAGGCGGGAGGGGGGGGGGGGGAGGAAGATGGGAAACACAGTAGAGGCCATTGGGTGTCGGTACGTATACGTGGCCAGAATTTTCACCGGCAATATAATACCGGACTGGCACTATTCAGAGTATTGAGAATGACTTGGCAGTTCAGTGTGTGCCCGCCGAAAACACCGGCACTACTACGACGGTCATCGCCACTATTCAACATGCCCTAAACAGGGACCCCAACTGTACGAGGCGATCAGAGCCTCCCCGGCGCCGCGTGCTCTGTACTTCATGAGGCGGGTCTGTGTTTGCAACACGTCGACAGCCTCTGCCGTTGGTAGGGTAGTGACGGCCTTGCTCTCTCTCTCTCTCTCTCTCTCTCGGGTCTGTGTTTGCAACACGTCGACAGCCTCTGCCGTTGGTAGGGTAGTGACGGCCTTGCTCTCTCTCTCTCTCTCTCTCTCTCTCTCTCTCTTTCTTTCTCTCGCCACCCAAAAGAAATAGTGAAAAAAACGAACGAACCTCCAGAATCGCTCGGTGTTTTCGGGAGCATCTCCGTTTCCTGTCGTCGACACGATGATGACCAGGGCGCTCCATTCCTTTAGCTCGGGAGACATCTGCAGGAAACGTTTGTTGTGATTTTTTTTTTCGTACACGCACACACACGTTCGTTCCCGGACGACGGAGATTCGAATCAACTCATCCTATCTACTGCTGTGGTGTTCTCACAAATGCTGCGCTGCGTTTCGATTGAACGCGTTGTTACTGCCACGACAATTGAAGATGTGTCTTGTTGTCGGGGATACAATCCAAAGTCACGTAGTCCCCTTCTTTACTAGTTCTCTTCTGCCATCCAGACTTGCATTTTGTTCTCTTCTGCCATCCAGCCATTTAAGGCTAGCAATTTGTTCTCTTCTGCCATCCAGCCATGAAGACTATCATATTGTTCTCTTCTACCATCCAGCCATCAAGACTAGCAAGGGATGGGGCCTATCTATGCATACACATAGGCCCTTTTTGATCGTCCTTTCAGCACAGGTAGATCTTCGTAGATCTTGTAGATCTTACATGCCCTCTCAAGATTAGGCCTATTCTATGCATATACATCAGTCCATTTTTTTCGCCATTTGGTCGTTTCAGCAGTTTTTCGAAAAGGTAGATCTTCGTATTTCTAGATCTGGTAGATCTTACTTTCTGAACATTATCACGATGGGCCCAAACTACGTCCTTTTTTCGGTTTAATTTTTGTCGGGTTATTTTTCCTTGTTTGACAAGTTTCGTAGATCTCACAGATCCTACCTTCTTCCAGCCATCGCAACCAAGCAGCGTGCTGACCAAACCCCTCTCCTTGCAGCCGTCGTGGATGCCCTCCGCAATCGACTTGGCGTTGCCCGTTTGTGACC